ACCACCCGCAGCGTAAAAAATTTCTTCCTTATATCTAGTCTAAATCTACCCCCGTTTAGTTTAAAGCCATTCCCCCTTGTCCTGTCGCAACAGGCCCTGCTAAACATTAATTTCCTATGGTGTATTCTGATTTTATCAGTCATTTCAAACTGTTTAATTTTCATTAGAACAACTAGAAAATCTGTATGAAATCAGCATTTCAAAAAACCTAGGTATCCAAAGTTAAAAAAAGAACCCTAAGTATCCAAAAAACCTAAAGAATCCAAACTCAGCCCCTAATTAACCTCACTAGCCAGAACCCCTCTGCTTAGCCAAAGTGACTACTTCAGAGACAGTTTTGTTCGGTACTTAACAGGCAAGCAATTGCTGTGAAAATGAGACAATATACCTCAAACCCTGTAACCACCATGAAGTAATTTACCTTTTATGTATCTTTAAGTAGGACAATATTTAGTTTGTTATAAGCGATTTAACTTTCAGCTGCTGTAGAAAATTACTTCTTGTATTATAAATTAATAATAATTTCTCTTGTACTCTGTTTTCCCTTAGGAATTATGAGAAGCAGAGAATGCAAGAATATTTGCAAGAGTTGCAAGAAATGGAAGAAAGAGTAAATCAAAGGCCATTGCTTTTTGAAAGAGTCACTCAGGTTGTCTTGCTTCTGTATTCTTAATCTTATCTTCAAGTACTGCACAAGGCATTTGTAGTCAAACATTTCAAACATAGAAGACACTTGAAAGACTTTTGAGACCAGTATTTGTCCATTTTAATTTCAATTGCCCTATCTCCATATAAATATTACTAATTTTTGTGACTAAGCATTCGTGGCTTGCTTGCACAGGGAACTGAGATGGCTGTTCTAAACGTGTTGTCCAATTCAGTTATAACGTGAGTAACTCTAAACACAACAAAAATTTACAGCAAAAATGTGAGAGGTTTAAGTTTGGAAAGAAGCAGTAAGAAAATTTGAGTATTCTTAATATCTACTTTAAAGCTCAGATGCAGTATTTTTATCGCTCCGTTTCAGTACGACCATGTGCTGGTAGTGTGGTCGCTGACCCGTTTCCAAACCCAGAGAGGCAGCAAGTCATAGATCACTGGTTCCCTTGTCCCTTCTGTCTGTATGGGTTTCCTGGTCTGCCGTCGGTGCGGGGCAGGAACATCTGTGTAGATCGGAGGACACGTCCTCTTCACTCAGATATTACCTGGAGGAACAGAATTTACACCCTCAGAGACACACATCTATGTAATTTGTTAAATAGCACTATAAGAAGGTGAATCAATACTACTTTTTTAGGGCAGCAGCTCCCAGAGAGGGAAGACAGAAGAGGAGGAGGGGATAAGGGAGAAGCCCTAGAAGACTACATCTGATTTTCTACATGTCCACATCTTCCTCATCCTCCCTCAATAGCTACATACAGAATATATAGCTCTTCATTAGCCAGTGGGCGCAGGGAGCAAACCGGATTTAAACTAGTACAGAAAAGGAAAATCTGGTGTAAAGTTTGAGTATTGTTTTGCCATTCTTACCTGCAGTGAATAATCATTCAACTTGTCAGATGCAATTAATGAAACAGTATTAATATAAATAAAAGAATCAAAAGACAGGCATTTAATGCACTTAGATAACATAACCATTGTGGTTTTCCTACAGAAGAGTGCCAGAATAGCTGCAGAAAAGCATTATTCTGACAGACTGAGAGCGCTGGGGATATGCCCAGAGTTTGTTTCAAAGAAAGGACAAACAACTAAATTGCTACAATGCTCCAGTGCTGAAGATTTTAATAACTCCACTGATGCCAGAGAAAGGTAGAGATTACTGAAGGCTTTTTTTTTTGCCACTACACACCTAGCAATTAGAAAGTAATTTTTGATGTGTAGGTTTGGGTTGGGTTTTTTTTTTTTTAATTATTTGTAGTATTTCCCAGGTAAATATTTGACTATGTAGTTAGCTTTACTAAAGTTAGCATTAGTATGCATTTTTTATTGTTCTTCCTGAATTAAATATTATTTCATAAAACAGAAGAGAGCACTGGATATGTTATGTAATGCACTTCAAAGAAAAATGAAGACAAACATTTTTTATTTGTTCCTTTCCCAAAATATTCCGGCAGGTCGCTAGTAAGTCACTTCATTCTGCATTACCTTTACTGAATTTTTAAAATAAGCCTTGTAAGAAACACTTTTCAGTATCCATTAGGTTTAATGGTGATTTAAAAGGAAGTGGAAATAAAAACATTGAAATATATAAGCAATACTGTTGAGTTACTTTCTAGCGTAAAAGGAGACTCTAGTGTCCCCCCTTCCCTTTTCCTTCCCTAGTTCCACCCCAGCCAAGTCTACCAGGATTTCTCCTGTATTACCTGAAGGTAGTTTAAAACCTACTGGAAAGCATCTTACCTGAAAATAAAAATCACACATGCAAATTGTCTTTTCAGAGTCATCAAGGATAAAGTGAAAGAAAGGGAATCCTTTGAGGAAGCAGCTGACGGCAGTCCAAGGTCTGAGCAGTCTCGTGAGGAGGAGGAGGGACAGAAGAGAAAAGGTGTCAAAACCTCTGCCCAGGATGGCCAGTCCAGAGAGCTGGAGGATGAGGAAGAGGCAAGAACCAGCCCTTATGCTCATCAGCCTTGCCATGCAGAGGAGGCTGGGTCCAGCCCCAACTCTGACCAGCACCGTGAAAAGGACGAGGAGAAGGAGGAGGAAGAAGAGGAAGCAAAGGCAGGCCTGTCGCTTGGCCATTCCCAGGAGGAGGACGATGATCAGTCAAGACCCAGCTCTCGGTCTGACCAGTCCCATGAGCGTGAAGAGGAAGGTCAGTCTGACCCTGAAGCTGAGGATGCCTTCAGATATGAGGATGAGGAATACGAAAGTGATGATTCAGAAGAGAAACCCAGCGATGATGAAGCTGACTGAAAGGAAGGCAGACAGGATGGCCTGGGGCTCAGGAACCTATTTCATTGCTGGCAGCGAAATAGACAAAGAAAAACTTGGCACTTTGCTACTGATACAAAATTCTGTGAATTTAGACCTCTTAGCTTAACAGTCTTTCCAGCACAGAAATTTCGTCTATTTTCCAGTAAGAAAGATCAAGTTACTAATTTCCACCAACAAAGGAATTTACTTTAATATTAATCTTCTTTATTCTAGTCTTCTGTGACATTAGTGCACCTCTGTTCATAAAATGAACGGCAACCACTGTTCAATAATGTCTTGCATGCTGCGTTGGTAAGTACTGAGGTCTTATGTCTAGCTCTTTCTATGTGCTGGCAAAGCCAGATGAGATTTTGGAGTAGTAATTTGCCATTATCAGTGCCTCCCAGTCTCAAACATTTCAATATTTCTGGGGTCTGTTCCTGCAACATCTTCTAGGATGGCAATGAACAGACAAGGGTTTGTTGTGCAAGGCCTCTGAGTGTTTTTAGCAGAGCAGCCACTAGGAAGACAAACTTGTTGTGCAGTTAGACAATATGGCCAAATTAATCTGTTCAATTCCTCCCTCCTCTTCCCATGGGGTTCGTCTTCTTCACGTCTTAAGTGAGCTGAATTGGCTCAGTGATGGGTCAGATGAGTGCCAGGGCCAGAAAAGATTACTGCTTTTGGAGGAAACAAGCTGTTATATCAATCCAACTACTTTGTCCAGCTAAAATATTAACAGTATTGCAGTTGCTCTCCCTATAGTGGAGAAAATGCCTAGAATACACTGAGAGGAACCACTTAAGCTTTCAGAGATTTTTAACGCTTACAGACAAGTAAGGTAGAAGAGTAAATCAGCAGAATAATATGTTATGCTGCAGATCTTATATTACTGTCTAACCAAGCCCCAGAACTGTTCTTTCAAACTCCATTTTGTTTTGAAGAGCTCTTCGCATGATCGTGTAAAATCATTCTTCATAACATAACAAATGCTGACATTAATCTTCAGATTTCTTTATTGAGACAGTAAACAGACTGTAAAGACAATCTTACTACGTCAGATAAAAATGTAGCCCAGCAACTCTAGTTGCATGAAAGAATGGAAAAAAGTGCTTTAGTACCTTTTCTTACACACTTGCTACTCAGGACTTTAGCTACTACACAACAAAGAATACAAATGGAAGGTTTGGGATTTTTTTTTCCTTCTTTGTATCAGTAGCACCTTCTCCTCCTATTACTGGCTTTCTTGCTAACCCGTCGTATACGATGTTAAGAAAGAATGCATCCACATAATAACAGACCACAAATAAAGATTGCAAACAGGCTTTGTCAGGACAGAGTATAATGCGACATTGCACAGGTGCTCAAAACATGTTCATTGACTAGTAAACGCATTTGTTAAAACTACCAGGTTTGCAAAAGCATCTGCAATGACTAGCAATAAGGATTTTTATTTTTTTATTATTTTCTTCCACGCTGCATGCAAGAGCACTAACTGTGTTATTATTTCTTCCTCCTGACTTTGAGAAACTGTGTTTTTTTTAATTTGAAACTTTTTTTACTTAAATAAACTAGCTGTTGTATATATGTCATACATGAAAATATTAATCATTACTTCACAAGGAAAAAAAAAATCACAGTTTACAATCCCTAGTTATACCTGACAAGCCCGCAATACAAACTCAAGGTTGGTTTGCTTGTGCTTGTCAGTATTCTGGAATTCTGAAGAGTTGTACAATGTTATTGAATTCACAGTCACATATTACTCATATTTGTCTCTTTAGTAAATCAGGTTTTTTGAAAGAAGGCAGAGGAGCTCTAAATTACGGTTTTCTCAAAGATTATTTTGAAGAGGTTTCAAATCAGAAAAAAAAATCTGTTTTTAAGATCTGATAGGACTCAACTAAGTGTTCTAAAAGAACATAAATATATAATTGTTGAACTATTAATATAGAGACTAAAAATATTACTAAAACTCCTTTGAACTGGAAAGAGGTAGCAAAAACAATGCTTTTTTTTTTTAGGTTTTAGAAGGAGGAGTTGGGGACCTGTGTATAACTTTGAGGTTTTCACTGAATTTTTACTGTATTGACCTTAAGAACAGAATTAATGAACACACAGATAAATGTGATATAACAAGGAAGAGTTAGTACAGCTTTTGGAGGTTATGCCTCAACTTTTTTAGCATTTCTGAAAAAGTCAAGCAGACTCATGTGGACTAAGGGGATCCAGTTGATATGGTTTACGTAGATTTTCAGGAAGCATTTGACAATTTGCTATCAAAGGATCTTAAAGAAGCCAACCTTATTGTAGGAGAATAAAGGTCTTAATTAGTAACCAATTAAAAGTTCAGGGAAGAAAAGGTCATTTTTTTTACAGTATAAATGCAGTTATCAGCAGACATTCGATGAGATTCAAACTGTTCAGCATACTCAGAAGGGACCCGTAGTATCCATTCGAAAGAGTTTGCTGAGGCCACAAAGTTATTCAATGCTGTGAAAAAATGAAACTGACTGCCAAGAACATGCCGAAGGGTCTTATGACACAATGATAGAAGAACAGATATAGTTCAGTTTTAACAAGCACAAATAAATGCACATGAGGGTAAAAAAAATATTCCTAAGCTATACAATACTATACACTGAAAAAAAGCAATTCCATCCTGAATACTGCATGCAGTCCTGGTCCTCCCATCTTAAAATGGATTTATTACGTAACTGGAAGAAGGCAACAAGAACGATCAAAGATAAAGAATGGTTTTCATATGACAAGAAGGTAGTTTGGTTTTCATATAACAATATATACTAGGATTCTTTAATTTGGAAAAGATACGAGAGATTGAACTTTGAGATATTAAAGGAACCATTTATGGAAATCACTTTGAGCAGCACAGACTTTCAAAGTGGAAGAATAATGAAATTTAAGTCAAAAACACTGTTCAGAAATTGCATTACAAACAAGAAAGGGATAAGCGTTCCAATAAGGAATTAAAAAGGAAAGAAAGAGCAAAGAAAAATCACAGATGACAGAACAAAAATGGGGAGAGACAGGTCAGGATGAATTAAACCTCATGAAGCAAAGTACAGCAGTGAAAAAATTCTTCAAACAAAGAATGAGGCATGTACACCACGCTGTCATGAGATGAACAATAGGCTGGCCTGAAAACCAAGTCATGATTTGACCCTCCCTTTTTTTTGGCAAGGAGGATGATTTAAAATGTAGACAAAACAGGAAGAAACTAATAGGATGATGGCACTGAAATGAAAATTACTATCTTTAAAGAAAAATATCCAATAACTTCAACATGAAAATCCAAATCCAGGTGAAAGATTTTGGTGAACTACCAAGATGCAGAGTAGTACCACAGAAAGGAGAATAGAATATGTAGTACTTTCTGTCAGAATTCAAAACATTTTGATGCAGTTAACATGGAGGAAAAAAAGTCATTTGATTCACAAAAGATGATGTAATAGCATTTTAGGGTAAGAAGCTCATTAAAGGAGAAATGATGATGAGTTACGCTTTCAGGGAAGCCACCTAGCAGGAGGAGGATGAATAGAAGAGTTTCTCACAGATTACTGAATATTCTGTCTTTAATATTTTAATTAACTGCCACAGCACAAAAGTAGAAACATGTTCAAAATTTGCAAAGAAAATGAGAAAGGTGTATCCAAAAAAAAGGATTAAAAATACACATGGGAAGAAGAGGATAACTTTGCATGTAGACCGTACTGTTAAATAATAATTTTGAAGTGCAAGAATAACAATTCTTTAATGGGAATTCATCACCTGAAGCTGTAAGGAGAAAGACCCAGATGACTTGTTGAGCAACAGATTTGTACCACAAAATGTGATCATAAAAAAGGTGATGGAATAGAAGGATGTGGCAGGCACAATATTTCCAGCAGGATTGGAAGAACAGTACTTTTAAGTCCACAAACACTACAGATCCCATTCTGGGTTTGTAAGTGATTCTCACGGTACCGAATGTGAGCAGTAGCTTTAGTCGGAAATTCTGTATTAAACTTCCCCCCCCCCCATGTATCTGCTCACATCTGCCACAGGTTCCCAGTGAGATAAGCTGCAGCCATATCCACCATGCTGGAGAAGGTTGACATTACAGGCAGTCTGAAGGGTCAGCATTATCGCTTGGCTGCACTGCACTAGCTTGCAAGCGTCTATCATTTGTAGGGGTTACACATCCCAGGAAAGGGATGCAGATTCTGGAAGTTTAGTGCTCGCAGGCAGTGCAGTTGCTATGGAAAGGCTCTAATATCTGGTGAGCCCAGGCTGAAAATGGTCATAAGGCCGTAGGACCTACGCTGTAATAAGCCAGCTGCATTTACTGAAGTTTAGAGATATCAGAAATGGTACATTTTTAGCAGTAGCAAATTCCACAGGAAAAGGAATATCACTGCCAAGTAAACCAAACAGAAGTACAAGGCTCACAGAGAAATAAAAATTACTTTTAAGTTACAGCCAGATCCAGTGCCCTGTGTGACTGTTCAGCACCCACGCCCACCTAACTTGCACTGAATACAGTCCTAAAATGTTAATACTGACAGGTTGTACATAAAGCCTATTTATATATATTTTAACTCTCTCTATATATATTTATCTATATAATTACATAGATTTCTATGTTTTGAAGTAAGAAGCCAGAAGTTTTGGATATCGTGCTTTTTCTGGGTGCAATGCAACGTTGTGGTATTGTTCTCAGGGAAGTCAATAACAATTTTGAAAGCTAACATAAAAGTGCCACCTGAACACTTCTTCTAAAAACAAAGCGTCTGACTTTGAGAAACAGGCTCCAAAAGCACGACACCCAGCTGGACTCCAGTGAGGCTATGGGAGCAAGAGGAGTTGCTACCATGGACTGTTAGGCAACATCTTGAGCTTTGGTCAGACAACCACCCCTCTCTTCAGGGGGTGTTTCTATCTTTTGGTCTGCCTTCCAATTTTACCTGCATTTCTCAAGCATTCTGTGTATATACGATACCGCTTCCTCTAGAAACCATTTTCTCATGTACATAATTACCATAACATCAAGCAGGAGGTTACATTCTCTTTTCCTTTGAGGAAAAAATTGTTACATCATTACCTTTTACAGCTGCTCCTAATGAGGAGAATAACAAAAGAATTCGATTTTTTGAAGAAAATGTTTAAAGTCATCACTATTTTGAAATGATTTAATTATAGTCTCATTTAGAATCCTCAGGCTTCTGGAATGGCAGGAAGCAAAACATTTCCCTGAGCTTAGCAGATAATAGGCACTCTAAAGATCAAAATATATATTTAAAATTATTTCTAAATATATGTCCATACAGTCACCCACAAATTTAAGTCAAATATCAGTTCTGTATGCATAATACATTTGTCCAGGAATACTAACTACTCCATTACTGCAAGATATGGCAGCTGCATGCTTACAAACATTAACATGCAGATAAAACTAGAAACAGTTTGATGTCTGTCCTCCTCACCCTTCAGTAGAATTTCAGTCTTACATCTCTGGTTGTATAATATTTGATAATTACTTGGCTTTAGGGAAAAAAAACCTTGCATACTCCAGCAAAACTCAAAATTGCTTCTTTCTTCAATAGGAATTTCAGGTATTTGAGGAATGCCGGATCAGAACTAAGACTTACAATAGTATCAGAAAAATTCCCGACCCTACTGTATACTAAAAAAACCTAGCACTCAGATGAAGCAGCAGAGAAATCAGGGATCACATGAGTAAGGCAAACTGCACAGATACAAAGGAAGTCATAGGACCTGATGTACTGCTTTAGGTATTAGTTTTGTATTAAGGAATAACAGCATTAAGAGGCTTCCACTGTGCTAAGTGTGCACAAACACACAGAAATAAATCCCCAGTCCAGTCTTACTGGGCATCTCCGCATACTTCAGAGGAAGTACATAACGTTTACCCACAGAGTAAGTCCTTTCAGAGACAGCTGAGCACGTAAAACAGCTTGCTTGTGCCCAAATAGCTCAAGCTCTGTCCTCCCCTATTCTTTCTTTTCCTCCTTGTTTTTCAGACCCTTTCATTGAGTCAAATTAACTCACTAAAATAGCCCAGCCAAAACGAGGGGGTGAGGTTAGGAGATGAGAGGGACAAGCAGGACTTCACCCTTTTAGTGCTGGCCAGTTACGATCAGTGTCTCACAGAACTGCATCCCAGGATTAGCCGCACAAGAAAATCCCCCGCATGCTTAAGTGGCTGCAGTACAGAGACAACAGATGTTTACGGGCAAATACTGTTATCTTCTGATAATTAAGACTGTAAATGAGACCATGTTTAATTTCATGAACACAAGTG